AAAATGATTTAAAAAATAATTCGCGAAATATAATTCGCGACAGCTCAATCGCAATTAATCTGATCGACCACTCTAGTTGTATTCTATCATTAATATATAAAATGAGTAATAATTAATAACGCTGTTAATTTGCATTACAAAGATAGGGACAACAGTAAAGCCGCATTTGCGCAAACACGGCTGTGTCAAATGATCTGCAGAAGCGATGGACGACGATAAATCACAAACCGCGTTTGCTAATAAATGTTACAAAAGAGAAAACAATTAATTTAACTAACGCCAAAGCTCGAGTTTTCGATACAAAGGCGGCGCCGCACGACAGCCGTAAAATCGCGAATTGTTAATTTCGCGCTCTACAAAAGAAAGAAAAAAACCGGATCGAAGCGCGTGGGAGATGACGAGCGGAGGGAGGGGAGAGAGAGAGAGAGAACTTTGATTTCTCTCCCCATCCTCGATACGGTGAAAAATGCGAGCGAATCGACGCTCAAGCGAATGCAACGAGAGTGTGATGGGACGTGCCTCTCGTGGCTTCGCGCGGAAAAGCGGAGCGGACGAAGATCGGGGAGGGAAAAGCGGAACGCGAGAGCTATTTTCACGCGTCACAGAGATGGTAATTGAGTCGTGCCGCTCGAAAGATCGAGTCACCCTCCACCGGGTGAGAAACGAAGGAGATTCAGGCTGACACGTGCACACACACACGCACGCACACACACACGCGCGCGCGCGCGAGAGGTGCCGCCGCTAGAAATGTCACTGCGAGAGAGAGCCGGTTTTAAGGTTAAATCTCTCGTTAAATTCCCGGATGAGCTTCCCTTTGTAAGAACGAGTTGATCGAGAAACTCTTTTGAGAACTTCCTCTTTCTCCGAAATGTTATTCGCAACCCGGTCACACGATTTTGACGTTCGTTTTTTTTTTATTATTATTAAAAGACTCTCTTTTTAAATTCCAAAATAATTATTTGAGAAAAAGCAGTTGTTTTAGCTCAAGAGATACACAACACGATATTTTCCATGACTAATCGTCAATATTTCCGACGCTACCGGAAAGTACTTTCCTACGTGACGCATGATAGTATCTCTAAGAACGTTCTCGATCTCCCACCTCCCTCCCTCTCCGCTTCCGGTGTTTCCAATGCGCATCCGATATCGACGAACGAATGATATTTCCGTGCGGTGAATCGCGCACGGAATCTATTTTTGCGGGGTAGTAACGTATTCTCGCGACTCAAGCCGCTCAATGGCAGCTGCTGCAGCTGGGCGCGCAAGTGAAAGTAATCCATCATACGGCGCGATACGTAACGCATCTGCGATATTCCGAGGCGACAAACTTACGCGCGTGATCTCAGCGCGAAAATAAGTTGGTTATGGAGGAGAAACCCCCGAAAGATTCCGGGGAACTCGCCAGATCCGTCTCGAAACGTCCGCGAGAGAATCTATTCCGATATCTCATAAACAAGTTGTGATAAAATAATAAAAACAAAGCCCATTTTACGATTCGTAATCGCGCGCGTGCCGACGAAGTAACACGATGCATTCACGACGATGCGTTTTGGTTGGTCGTCTAAAGCCGCTCGTTCGCTGGAAATAGCGAGTTGTTTAGGATGAGGGTGGGGTAAGTGTCAAGGCGAGGGATTCCCGGACGCGACTCGACCGAAACGCGGCGGCTTTCGCGAAAATTCGCCGGCCGGGAGAAATCTCGCGAGGGCGAGAAACCGCCGGGGCTCCAAGCGCGCCGCTTTGATGTCCTCGACGGGGAACAACGCGGGAGAGCTCGCGAACACAAAGGCGAAAAAGCCTCGAGTGAGAAGAAGAAAGAAGCTTCGCTGAGGCAACACTTTGCGCGAATATAAGAGGCGCTCTCGCCCAGGAAATCGTCCGAAGATGTGAGAGAAGCCGACGTTACACCCGCGGCGGCGGCGGCGGCACGCGCGAACACGGAGATATAAATTTCGACCGCGGAGCTTACGGCGCGTGAATATTTCATCGGGATATTGTGCGAGCTCTCTGCGCGTCGCCTGTCAACTGGAAACAGTAATTTTCAGATTATATCCGATTTTCGCTCATATTATCAATAATTCGCGCCACCGATTATAATCGTCCATTACATTCCAGAATAATTTCCGGCCGTTAATTTCTATACGTTTTTGTAACACGCGTCTCCGAAACACTGTATCATCGGCCGTGCCGAAGTCTAGCGCGTAGAAACGGAGAAACGAATTTCTTAATAAGATCAGAATTTAGCATTCGAAGAAAGAACTGTGCCGCGACGAATAGCGTCGACGAAGAAAAAAAAATCCCTTCGCGGAGAAAATAAAGGTCGCGCTCGAAAAATCATTCGCGACAGTTCAAACACGAAGAAACTTCTGCGATAATGAGATGAGGAGAGAGCGCCGGATCCGCGGAATGAGGAAATAAATGCTAATGGTCACAAGCCCGTTCCGCCCGGCGGCGGGTGTTGCGCTCTAACGATAGCTGGAAGCGTTGCTCGTCTGTTAAAAGAGCCCGCGCACAAAGATAAGGTGCGATGCGTCACGACTTCGCGCGTTTTGCAGGTAGTTCCCCGTTGCGTTTTTTACTCTTGTAAAAATTTTAATATCGCGACGTCGGTAGGTATCTCTCGAGCGCCGTCATACCGGCATTTGTGTACAATCGAATGTGGGAAGCCAACAAACGGAGAGCCGCGTGTATCTTCGCTCATTTCTTTCCTGTTTTTTGAATTTAATTAACCGTTCGTTCGAATCGCGAATCTGCATTCGCGCGAGACAACGAGTCGACGAATAAACGCTCGAATAAAACGAAAAAATATATACACCCCCCTAGAGAATCGAGCGGTCAAAACTTTTTATTATTTTTTTTTTTTACACTCGTACGCGCGATACGCGATGTAATCGATATAGGTACGCGGTTTTAATAATAAATTCTGTCGCAAAATAAAAGCGGCCTGTTTCATTTCTTTCTCGATTTGTTTGTTCTCGAACGTGCATGAACATTACCGAGGGAAATGAAAAATGGTCGGCGATACATTGTACACATAGTTTACCGCGCGATTAAACGCCCGACGCGATGTCTCTCTTTTCTGTAAATACAAAAATATATTCCCTAATCGTACGGCAAAATGTCGCGAGAGAATTCGCACACCCAGAAAAATCTAATCCCGTCCTCCCTCTCTCGACATTAACACGTGGGATTCTCGCCGGACTTTGTTTGACGTGTGCGTCACACACGCCCGACGTTTCCCACACGCGTCGTTTCAGAACCCCCCGACACCGCTCTTCTCTTACGTGTTTCTCGTGTGACATCCCCGACGACCGGGCTGACGATATACAAACACATTCGTCACTGTCGCCCACGAGACGTCTCCTCGCTAAGGACGACGGCGGGCCAAAGTGACGGCAAAAAGGTAAACGATCGAACACACACGCGCGAGAGTCGATTTTTCTTCCTTTTTAACAGTTCGCGATGTTCGACGATTACGCGCGTCATTATTCATTCCCGCAAATACACTCGACGACTTGTTTCATTAGCCGCCGCGACGTCTCTTTCTCTCTCTACGATTTTCTGAGCGACGAAAACCGCGCGCGCGCGAGTTTTCAACTTAAATCACATCCGAGAAGATACTTGGGCGAAATATTAACGGATGTTAAGAGAAAAGCTTATCTCTTCCCACGCATCCGAGCGACGGATGTAAAGGCTGAAGCGCCCCCGCGGAGATTCGCAATAACCGAAACTGCGCTTCTCGCGCGCTTGAAAACGCACAGAACAACGAGGCGCAATTCCCGTTTCATTTTTATTCCACGATTTTTTTTCGCGGTCTCGCAGAGACACTAAACGAATCCGCGCGCGCGCGCGCTGTCATTTGCACGGCGCTCACCCCACCCGTAAAAGTTTAATTAATTAAGCCATTGTGTTTGATCAAGCGCGGTGGTGAACCTTCGCGCGTTTTACGAAAATTGTGAGAGAAAACGGTGAGCGTGTGTGATTCATCGCGTTAACGCGCAGCGGCGTTCGTGGAAATACATGTATAACGCGTGTTCAATAAAGGCATCATAACATTAGCGAATGAACGAACGCGCGGGACACTCACATATGCGGACGGCGCGCATGTTAACGCGCATTAGACGAGCTTAATACGAGCGATGGAAAATATCAGCAATGACTAACCCGTCATTTTCGCTACGTAAAACATCGACGCCAATATTTATTACCCACGTTAAAATGATTGATTCGCGTGTGATTATAACGTCCCGACAGAGAATTGCAATTTATACATATGTGTGTGTGTGTGTGTATGTGTAATAATATATATATATATATATATATATATATATTTAATGCGCTAAAGAGCCGCACGCCCGAATCCACGTCAAATTTACTAAATTAACGCGATGTATATTGCACAATACCGGAACAATATTTCGCGATAATCAATTCCGTAAATTACAAGATAATTGCGAGGCTATGAAATAAAAGTAGCGCGCGAGAGAGACGCGCGCAGAGAAACGTGACACAGATAATTAATATTTATTATATAATATTCCCTCTTTCTATCTAAAAACCAATTTAACAAATTTATTCAATAATCAAATTCAATAAATCGCACATCTCTCATTGTATAGCCGCGCGTATAATAATTAATTTCTAACTTCGATTTTTCTTCGGAAAGATACGCGTTTTACCCGTCTTCACACCGCGTAATGCGAAAAGGAAAACACAAGCTAAATACTTGGCGCGTAATTTTTATGTCGCGCGAATTATTCGAAGCAAACCGAATGCCGGCGCGACGGAAGTCGAGATGTATCGCGACGTTAATTAAGACGAATGTGTGACTGGCGAGAATATTAGGGATATTCTCATCCTCGCTCGTATCCTACGCGACGACGAGCTATAACACTACACGCCGTCGCCGAGAAACGGCTTTTCTCGCAGCGGCGACGCGTGTGTCGCGGATAAAACGTGCGCGTGATAAAACGACGGCGTTACACCGCTTTATGGGGGCTTACCATCGTCAGGGACGCGCCCGTCCCACGCGCGTACTGGAATTCCTGGACACTCACCTGGAACAGAAAGAAGAAACAAATACGGGTAAGTATTGTTGCGAGGTGAACTTTGCGCTTCGATTACTTAAAAAACTATTTGACGCGCGGAGCTTTTCTTTACCTTCGCGCTAATTTCCGAAGCTCTCTCGCAACGGCAAGAGTTTCACGCGCGATTTTGCGAAAGCGAGAAACACGCGCGCGACTTGTCGCTGACAATTACATTCCTGTTAAATTTGATTAATTGCAGTTTCAAGTTCACAGCTCAATCATTCACTACGTTCTATTGTATGTGTATGTTAGTTGAATCCCGTGCGTGCAAGATATCGCAGAAACAAAGCGACACATCACGCGACACAGATCTGCAAAACCTCATTTCCGTTTGACGATCTGAAGCTCTTCTCTTTTATTCTTTTTTTTGTCAAACAATAATAGCGAAATACTGGATTTGTCAGATGTGTCGCGAGTAGGTAGTTCGCTTTGAGATATGTCCTACATTTAAAAAGCAATAAGAACGGGGAACCGATGCTTAAAGTTCGCGTAAGCGTGAATCGTTCGTAAATCTCGAATCGCGCGAAAATGCAACTCTACTTTTGCGCCACTTCCGCGAGAGTTTATTTCACGGATTAAAAGCGCAAACTCGTGGCGCGCAAATATAGACGGGGATGCGCACAGCTCGGGCTATCTCGATCGTGCCATCTGGCGCGCGCACATACACACATACACACAGACACACAAGTTCGCGAGATATCTCGGTCGCACCGTCTAATAGCCAGATTAACACGTCGACAAGCCAACCTATCGACCAAATCACACGTGTGCCGTGTGTACAGTTTGCCCGAGTCGCTTCGTGACGGACAGTCTAATTTCCCGTCACTATGCGCGACGCAAAACTCTCTCACGTATGTCCCGTCGTAATGTTGTTCGAGACAATTTTCTTTCACCGTCGATTTTTACGCAGTCATTACCGGTATCGGTAAAAATCTCCCGGCAAATAACGTTGCGATTCGAATCCGGTTTGCGTGTAAAAAGAAAACAAAAACCATGATTATAAACTCCGTTAGAAAAAAAAGTAAAAATTTTGCATTTTTAATTAAAATTTGCATATTATACATTTATAATATTGTATGCGATACTTTTTGCTCTATTTTTGTGTAAATCATAAAATTATCGCGTAACGCCAACAGATACGCACCCAAGTGTTAAACGAGTTTACGAGCGAAGCTGAAAATTCGCGCACCAGAAATTTCGAGAACCAGTAAAACTCGCTCTCCTCAACGTCGTAAAAAAAAAAAAAAAAAGCGAGACGAAAACCGCGCGCGCAGATGGGGTAAGCGCGATAAGAGAACGCGCCGATAAGGAGGAACGGCGCGCGGACAGAAAGAAATCTCGAACGGTCGAAGCTCGGGCACACATGTTTGCATAAATGCCGACGTAGGATCGATAGCGTTTCACCGCACTCGACATGCAACTGTGACGATTGGCTGCTTTTCCTCCTCCTGCGTGTTTTTTAACGCGGAATCGATAAGGTGTACGCGCTATCAACCGCAATACGCGTATGTGTGTACACGCTCGTTTCCCGAGTATTCCGTATAAAAAAAAAAAAAAAGAAAAAAAGGTCAAAGATCACAAATCAAGCGGTTTTACTTTATTTTCTGTTCGTTCTTGATGTTGCGAAACCTCGCGACATTAGTGGAAAAACGACTGAAAGTCAAGGGTGTCCGCTGTTATTGTTGCCAAGGACAAACTCGTAGAAATACAAACGCAAATATTGTCCGAGCGTATTTTTAAAACATTAATACGATTTTAATACGATTCTAATGCCACATCGCGATTCGATATTTACGACTTCTAATCATTAGCGATATTTGCTCTGTCCGATCGGTAAAAATGAGAAAAACAACTCGCAAATAAATGGCTATATTTCTGTGTTTTGTAATTTTCTATTCCTGGATTTGTGCGCGCGCGCAAAACACGCGAAAGTAGGTTTCTCGCTAAAGAAATTTTTAATCGCATATACGCATTGCGTGCAAACGCGTCGGCGACGCGCTATCGAACGATATCGCGGATCGATAAACCCGCCTTTCCTTTAACGAGCCGCGCGCGAGCAACACACATCGGGTGACGTCGGCGTTCGTTAGCGCTAATCTCGATTAATCACCCTGACGTTGACGTGTGACGACACAGCGCGAGACACTCCGTGCAAACTGGTACTACTCAGAAGAGAGATCAAAGAGACACACAGTACGATCCTTCGCCGAAAACCCCGTCCTATACATATTATTGCTAGAATATATCTTTTTTCTGGAGCTATATTAAACCACGATCCTGTTCAAAGGCAAGAGAGCTCGTAAAAAAGCATTGGAATGACGAAATTAACGAGTGATTGATTAACCGACCGCGCGCTGATTCACCGAAACGCGTTATCGCGAAAGATTGATTTTTCTTTACACAACTGCGCACAGGAAGAGAAAAAAGAAACGGAAGTTCTAGGTATCACGTGTCCTCCCTCGCACGCGTTTTTTTTTTTTCGCGAAACTGTCCATTTTGTCTCGCGAGAATTTCATTTATCGCTCGTTAAGGAGCGAAACCAGCGTCGTATCGGATTCCAGCCATAACGACACTTTTTTGTCCGAGCGTCGTGTACGGTTTGTTTGAGCGCCAACCTCCGGACGCGCGAAACTCGATATACAAACCTTCCGGACGCGCGCAGGTTATTCCCGTGCGGACGGATACGACCGGAATGACGCTGTCCCGGGGTTTTTTTGGGAAGAAAACTTGTCAGGTTGACGTCGAAGGGAACCGAGCGATTTATCTTGTTGTATTAACAAATGGATGATAATGACGCCCCTCCCAAAATCCGGAGTAAGGGAGAACACGCGAGGGAGACGACGCGTCGATGAAATTAACGGCGGAAGCGCCTGATGTCGGGGTGTTTACGCGTATTTGCGCACCCGAGCGTGGACGTGCGTGAGCAATCTGCACGTCATTGCGCGCGAGCGCGCCTTTGTGAGATTAAGCTCGTTTGCTTGTATCCGCGTGTAAAGTATATATATACCGCGTACACAGCTTACGTCGATGTACGCACACGTGTTGGCGTATTGTATTGTTCGCGCATTATTACAGTAGTACGTACACGTACTAGGATGCGCCCGCGAGACTTCTTGCGGGAGTCGCGCCGCGTAAAATGTTACGCGCGCGCTGTAATCTTCCGGCAATCGAAACGAGCGCAGTGTTGACCGAGCTCGAAGAAGATGCATCTGAGATATGTTACTGCGCAAGTTGAAAAAAGAAAAAACAAAATTAAGACGTTTCGGTTAATTGAGCCGAGCGAGCGAGGCGCGAACGCAATCTTGTTCTCTCTCGTAAATTCTAGACGGACTAAATTCCATCGGAAGAACCATTAACTCAGTAATTTTTCAAGTAAGTAATTTTACTCTAACGGAATTTTAATGTTTTTTTTTTTTTTTCAAGCGCTCGTTAAAAACAGATTGTTGTTTTGTTTTTGCGTTTTTTGTTGACAATTTGTAAAGTTGTGACGACCGATATAATTGAATTTCCGCGCGATATAATTTTGCAGGAAGGAAATTGCGAGAAATTTCGCGGCATATCCGCTCCGGGGATGCACCCCGTATGCGAAAGGGGGTTAATGTGTGTTTCGAGTATGTCCGCTCGCAGCGAGTGTGTACACACAGTTAGGGACGCCTTGCGATACTAATTGATGTCGGCAGACGCGGACGGAACGGCCGGATCAGCCGTGGAAGGTCTGACGCAGGGTGCACCCTTCCGCCTACTCTCTCACAAAGAAGCCTTCGACTTCTCCGCCCTTCCGCCCACGAGCTCGCCCGGGACCCGCTCGTCGACAATGGACACGCCAACGGGAAGAATGTCGGCGCATGCCTCGGCAACAATGCGCGAACAATGCCGCGTAACGACTCCCCCCTCTCTCTCTCTCTCTCTTGCAAAAGCGCAAATTGGCGTCACGAGTCGTTCGAGAAAGACGTCGAGACTCGATGCAAACTTGTTTTGGATATGTACGCGCTCGTCGCTCGTTTGACAAGCGCGATTCAAGCGCCGCGTTTCTCGAAAGATCCTAAAACTGTGCTTCGGCGCACAGAAATAGTTTCGTATAATTTTGATGGTTTTTTATTTCTTGTTCGAACGAGAGTTGAAGATTAAAAAAAGTAAACGACTGAATTAATTAGATGTTAATTATATACAGATATATTTTACTAGATACTGTATAGATTACTTCTTTTATACGCGTATAAATGTGCTTCCCCGTCACATTCGATCGATTCGCTGATTCTTACTCCGCGACAAAGCCGATCTGACGGAATCAGCGGGAGAGCAGAAATTGGTATCGAGGCGTCCTGATTGGACTTGGTCTTTGCTTCGCTTCGAATCCTCCAACGCGCGGGCGTCATCAAATTTCCTATTTTCCGACTTCTCGTTTCAGGCAAAAACCAATGCGGCGCGGCCATTCACGTGGCACACAGAACAGGTGTAAGGGGTACCACAATGGACAAGTAAATGGCTAGAAGTGAAAGAGAGAGGGAGTGGAAGTTGGATCGGATGGGGAACAGGCTCGGCGGCGGTAAGGCGATTGCCATCGGCGGGAGAGGGAAACATAATTTTCCGATCTATCCCGACGACATTATTACATTATTATATATATATAATGTTATATTAGAAGTTAGACGTGGAAGGGGAGAGATCTCGAGGTCACGAAATACGGTATCTTACCGAGGATACGGTATGAAAGGAGTAATTCGACGTACGCGGTTAGTACATCAGACGTAGCGAGTTATCTGCGAAGCATTAAGGCGTGAAAAAGACGGAGAGAACGAAAGAAAGAGGAAAGGGATCGGCGAAAAAAGAGGAGCGAGAAGGAGGAAGTCGTCCCGGCAGCTGGGATGGGCTTCTAGGATCGACCTTCCACTCCAGTAATGAGAAAATCACAAAAGACGTGTCACTTCAATGGGTCTCCGGTATCCGTCGTGTCTCTTTCGTCTCTTTCC